CTGTTGTCAGCACCACCAAACAAAGACATTTCAGGGGGTCTCAAAAGAGCAGGATCACAGAATCAGTTCGGCTCAGGCCTCAGACCACTGAGTCCGTTACCATGTCAAACACCTTCATGTCAACTCGACCATGGCACTCAGTGCTGCATCCAATTTTTCTCAAACCCCGCCGGGGACGGTGACTTCACCACCTCCCTGGACGGCCCATTCCAATATCTAACCACCCTCTCAATGAAGAAATTCTTTCAAAAATCCAATCTAAACCTCTCAATTACGAAAAATACTATTCTTAAAGTGTGGGTGGGAACATCAGGAGATCTGTCGTGGCTGAGAGGCTTCCAGAGGGCTGATCCTGAGGCGATTCCCATAGCCCTGGTAGCGTTTTGTCCTCTTGGGAAGGTTTTCACTAGGGAGCTTGTATTTCAGTTCAATGATAATTTGGGTGTTGTTTTTTTTCCAAGAAAGGTTGAGGAAGAAACTGAAATAATCCCTTTCAAGCAAAGTGTTTCCAGTGAAAAGGTATCCCCCCTACACACATCTGGACAGAAAATTATACTGAATTTCAAAGTTATAAATTGATTTATTATCAGAAAAAGAGAAAAGCCCAGTAGGAATAAACTGAGATCCCTATTTTTATAAGTATTTAAACTGGGCATTCCCTTGAAGCTAAGAGGAAAGATATGGATTGGTAGTTTTTAAAGTTCACTTTACAAAATGAGTTGGTTAAGAATATCTCAGTTAAGAACCGCTGATCTAAAAACATGACGTTACATTGTAGAAGTATGAAAAACTTGTAAGCTTTGCAGACCAAAAATGTAAGTTTAATAAGCAGAGGAAAAGCTGCTGGTAAAGCTGATAGAACCCGGATAAATGCTCAAAATGCAGCAGCTTTGACTTTTTTTTTTTTTTTCATGGTTCTAGAGTCTTAAATCCTTCTCTTTGCCCTAGGGAGTGTATAAATAAATGCTGTGTGTTAGAGCACAAACCCTCAGGCTTGTGTGTGGTTAATTGTTGATGATTGCATTGAAATCAAGAGGACTATTCACAGTGCACACAAATGTACAAAATATATGACTTATTGTCAGATGGTTATAGATACACCTAATGCCTTACATAGAGATCACCAGTAACTCTTCTGATACTTTTTTTCCTTTTAAGCACTGTGTTATTTAGTATATCGTTTGCATTTTATGAGATAAAGTAGAAAAAGCAAATCCTCAGAAGTAAGGCATGTCTACCATCTAGGCATAAACTTGGCAGGTGGTTTGTTGTGTCTTTTTCCTGCTTTCATCTGCCTTCTTTTTTCACCAGCTAGAGGAAAAACTTTGAAGTGTGGTTATAAAACAACAGCAAAAATAACACTGCTGCATTTCAGTTATTTCTCTACACTTCATATCAACTGCTCTCACCACATCAAGAAACATTCTAATTGTCATTCCTCTGAGTTCTCCTTGGCATCTGATAGGCAAGTGGTATTCTTTCTGGCTCATTTCACATTGCTGGAAATAAATAGTTCCAGAATAGAAAATAGGTTGATTGTGTATGAGCCAAAATAGAATCCAAAATAGAAGAGCTTGTGCTCTTCACCGTGTTGTCTCTGCACTGGGCAGAGGAGTGTGTAGTAGTAAATGATGTAAATGGTGCCAAATTAAACAGGTGTGAAACAAATACAGCACTCTTACCCAGCTATTCTTCTATGAGGATTAAACCTATTCTGTCATAATTAGCAGAGATTATGTGTTATCTGTCACATGTCACACAAGCTCACCAAGGCACCACCGAGGAGCAGGGGGACCAGTGTGCCAAAGCAGAGGGGGCAGTGCCAGCGTGCTCTGTGCTGGCAGCTGCAGCATGGGGCTGGCAGTGCCCATAAACAGGGAAAGGGTTTGTGTCTGGAGTTTTAGTGATGGCAGGCTTTGAATTCTCTTCCCACCATCAGTCCCAGCCCCAGCCCTGTCCTTCTCATCTCATCATTCCTTGTTAGAGAGGCTTGCCAAAGTGGGAGACACTTCAGCACTAAGGAAATGAACCGTATGGATCTGAGAAATAATATAGAAAAGATTTCACAGAAATAGTAACATTTATCACATAAACAGAAGGATATCCTGTAAAATAAGCACAATTAGATGTATCATTATACCCAAAAAGCCATATGTAGACATATCACACAAACAGGCGTGTTTTCGACCTGCACCTTCTTCACACTGCTCTCTAATTAGAGCTCCTCTTCTGTCTCACTGCTTTACAGACACCTTCCTTTCAGCAAGTTTAAAATCCACTCCCTGCTTTTGTATTGTTCAGTGCTTTTGACTGATTGAGAAGTGTGTAGAGTCTTAGCAATGGATGCACATTTACAATGCGTTGTGGGAAATGTTTGAGTGGGATGGAAGTAAATATCAGGAAGAGTACCAGAGAGAAAGTACACATTTTTGTTATATTGAGAACATTACACAGGCAATGGACTGTAGAATTAATACCAGACTGGGGCGGAATATAAAGCCACATTAAAGTAAGAATTGATCTTTTCATTTTTCTTTATCAGCACTATTCTGTAGTTTTGAGCTTCCTGTTGCTGTGCATACACGTCCAGTGAAGATGGCAGGGGAGGATCTCTACACTTCCTTGTGGAAGCTGCTTGTCTTCTGTGCTTCTAAAATGAGGGAAAGATCTGCTTATTATAGTAGTTTTCCTTGTAGGTCACCAAGCAATATGTAAATAAGGCTGTTTTCTTCTTACATACAATTATGTTTAAAAGGTTTTTATCTGAAATATCCTATAATTCCTAACTCTGGCTCAGCTCCAAGAATCAGCAAGCCTGGTGATAAGTGAGGATTCTGGGGCTATCAGTACATTTTTGGAAGTTATTTTCATTGCTCTGGATGCGGAAGACTAATTTATAGAAATGAATCTGATGTAAACTAGAGCATCATTTTATCTGAACTATATGCAAAGGCTTGACTATGATATACAGTGTCTGCTAAGGGGAAAAAATTGCAGATCTTTTTAGTGCTTGTGATTCAATAAATTATCAGTCTCTTACTTTTTGTGTGTTCTTCACAGTTTATGCTATAGTACTGTGTATATATTCGTTGATAAAGGAATGAACAGTTCGGCTGTGTTCCTGCTTTTCACTTGTGAAAGCACTGGTCCTTTTAATCTCTTCAAATAAGAGTTTTTAGCTATTTTTAGCAGTCAGCAAGAACTGACATTTCTAATGTTTAAGTATTTTCGTCTGCTTCCTGAGTGTATGCATTTGACTATAGAATAATGAGGTCTTTTTTTGAAGAAAGAACACTGTGATTTATTTTGGAAGCAGCTTCTGTAGCTCTGAAAAGAGCTACGGCTGCAATCCTTTGTTCTGCCGCGAACTGGTGAAAATGTCTTCCTCCGATCCCTAGGGATTTGTTGGGTGTTCTGTGTCTACAAGGGCTAAATTTTAATATTGAAAACGTTCAGAAATAGCTTACATGCTCATTGTCATTTGTGCTACTGCTTTTTAAATCCGAGATTTTAAAGAATAGGATGTGCTATAATTAAAGTTTCCATGTCCTCTCTTTGTCGTACAAAGAGTCACTGATGACTGTGCCTTTGCTGTGTAGTTCACGCCCGTGGAGAGGGTTTGCGTGGATGGCAGGCAGTGATTCACAGCCCCCTGAGCGGGACCGCCTTTCCCGTACACTCAGCCCGGGTGTGAGCGCAGCCCGAGGCCGGTGGGTGCCGGTGGATGCCACCAGGGCTGCCGGGCCCGGCGAGAGCCGCCCCCCGGCCCCACCGCTGCCCCCCGCCGCTGCCCCCCGCCGCTGCCCCCCGCCGCCGAGCGAGGGGGCCGCGCATGCTCCGGGCCCGGCCCGGCCCGCCCCCAGCTCCTCCCCGTGCCCGGGGCCGCCGCCGGGGCCGGGCTCGACCATTTCTGCGGGCGCGGGGACGAGGGGCCGAGCCCCGGGCAGCGGCTTCGCCGAGCTTCAGCACCGCGGGCCGGACAGCGCCCTTCGGGCCGGGCGGCTCGGCGGGCGGCGGTGCGTGGCAGGCCCCGGCGCGGGGCTGCGCGGCCGCACCATGTTCCTCGGGCTGGCGGTCGCGCTGCAGGTGCTGGCGCTGCTGGCCAGCCGGGGACACGGCTTCCCCAAACCCGCGGGCACAGGTAAGCGCCCGCCCCGAGCCTCCTCGCCCTTTGCCGCGGGTGGGGAAAGTTCTACGGGGTAGAGATAGAGGATGGTAAAAACTTTCCTTCCACTTGGCTAAAAGCAATGAGATCCTAAAACAATAATATTCCTGGTGCAAGATACCGATCACTGAAGATGCAATCTAATATTAAAGTGAAGGGAAAGGAGCTGGTAGAGGGAAAAGCTCTGAATTGTTTCAGTCTTTTCCAAGCAGTGTTTTCATCCATTCTACAGTAGTGTCTGCACGAGTCTTTGCTTGCTCCCTGTCTCCCGCGGTATTCTGGATGGAAGAAATTTTTAATCTCTTGGTTGTGCCAATCCGATTATTGCTATTTTAGTCAATCTCCTCCAGCACTTTTTTTCCTAGTTTGTGAGTTTTCTGATCAGAAAGAGGTTGCTGATTCTATATCTGTATTTCTGTCTTCTGCAAAACCTCTTCCTCTGCCCCAATCATGCTTTGTTTAAAGGTTTGAATTTTTTTATTATGTTCTCATTCTTCTAGGAACACTGAATTTTTTTTGCAAGAACTAGCAGTTGGCATCCTACTTAAGACACCATGTTTTATGGGAGAAAACTGTAAATTAAGAAAAAATGTGCTGTTTCTTTATAGCTGCATGTATCATATAACTGAGTATATATATGTGTGTGTGTGTGTTTATTCTAGATAAAGCCATACACAACCGACAATTAAGTGTAGAAAGACCTTTGGAAGAACAGGTGAGTAAAATAAAAAAATATTTACAATTTTTTTTTAAGGAATTCCTATAAATATTTTTTAGCCTTTCAGATACTGGATCCATGAATATCATGAATGACTAATGAATGGGTAAAAAAATAGATTTGTCAGTAAAGTGATTATTGTTGGGGTTCGATATAAAATAGGGTTTCAATAATTTTTAAGGACTGGCATATAGACTTTCACTGTCCAACATTCTAAAAGCAGGTTGTTAGCTCCAACAACTCACAGATATGCCACCCCTTTCTATTGATATCCTATAGGAATGTAGCATGAGCTTGGAATGAAGAAGGAAAATGTAACTGGCTTTTATCTTAAAATGAAAGTGTATCACAGCTTCTCGTAATGTCTGGTTCTGTTCAGAGGATGGGTGGTGCTGACGAAAGTGTCCAGTGCTTATTCCTGTTCTACTTATTCAGGCAAACTTCTTACTAAGAGTGAAAATCAGGCATTAACCCCTCTGCTGATACTGATAAGAGATCACACATTTTATTCCTTCTACCTGTTTGCTTTATTTTTGTATAATAGATTGCTGAAGCTGAGGCAGACAAGAATAGGAAAATAACTCCCACAGGTAAAATATCTTTCCTGCTTTTATGGCAATAATCATAATGGTATTCAAAGAAGTATAAGATTTTATGTTGATATTGATGTAAATATATTTTTCAGAAAATAAGCCAGAGTTCAGGAATTATTCCTTTGTTGATGACCTGAACCTGCTCAAATCAGTAGCAGAAAGAGAAAGGAATGAGAAGGAGAGGGAGTCAATTAGAAGCTCCTTATATGAACAGCAACTGGCCATTGATGATGCAGACTCCACCAAGAACCGCAGGCTTGTGGATGACTATGACTCCACTAAAAGCGGGCTGGATTATAAATTCCAAGGTATTCCATAATCATCTTTCAGTGACTTCTAGGTTAGATTTCTCTTGCAAACTGATTGCCTTCATGAATGTTGTATTCACCACTAAACATGAGCTCTATTTGTTTTTTCTAGTTGTGGAAGCTTATTTTATTACAGTTAGATTTTTGAAACACAGTACAAAAGAATTGCTCTTGATTTTAACAGACTTCCATGGAGAAAAGTCAATTGTGTAATTTGTAGAGTTTTTTAGCAATTTAGATTGGATGGAAGGAAAATGGGACATATTTTTGAATGAAAGTATATTTATTCTGGTTTGTGAGGAAGAAACACTTCTATATGCAGCTAAGTCACATATATTTATTCCAAATATTATGTGCTGTTTTAGATAATTCTCATAATCACAAACGGAGAAGAAATTACCAAAGGATACTTGCCTTTGCTACAGGAGTAGCTAATTGACTTGTAGTTTAAGTGAGTCTTCTGAGAATTGTAAGCAGCATTTAGCTCAGGATATTTTTAATTATATCAAAGTATGCTGATCACAGACCAAAGCTCACCCATTGTATTCCCTTTCCCCTTGTCATGATGGTATTATTTGCCATAGGAACAATTACATAATTGAAAGTTAATTTGCTTAAATTCAAGCAAGATTGTGTATCATTTGTCATGAACTGTTTTGATCTAAGTGGCCATACAATGAAAGCAGATACCAGAAATAAATGGGTATGGAAATTCTACCAATGATTTCTATAAACAGGAGAGTAAGCTCCTAAAGTTCATCTCTGCTTTTTCAGAAGAGCCAGTTAAAAAGACATTTTTCAGATGTGGAAAATTGACACAAAGAACTTTTCCCTGTGGCTGATTTAATAACTTGCAAAGTGTGTGTCAAAGTATATTCCTAATGTGTCTAAAAATGCAGTTTTGTTCTGAAGAGAAAAAGATGTGGGCAGATATTTTTTATGAGATGCTTAATCTAAATGAGTTCGGATGGTCAGCACACAGTACGACTGACACAGTAAGACTGTAATCCTTTCAGACGATCCAGATGGCCTCCATCAATTAGATGGCACTCCTTTGACTGCAGAAGACATTGTTCAAAAAATTGCTGCAAGAATTTATGAGGAAAATGACAGAGGAGTGTTTGACAAGATTGTTTCAAAACTTCTAAATCTGGGGCTAGTAAGTATCTTGGTATCATTTAACTGGTTTTTGGATTGGATTAATGCTCTTTCAGAAAACAATTCAGATGCACACGTGGTCTGAAGCAAGTGGGGCTCAGGGTCTAAGCAAATTTCTAGAGCTGTTTGGACTTGCTGGTTAAGCTCTGGAATAACATTGTTGTTCCTGTGATGTCTTTGCAGCAAAATAGGGCAAACTGCAGAATGTTTCTGATGTTGAAAAAACATTCACTGATTGTACTCCTCCCATGTCTGCCCTCCTTTTTCCTTTAATTTGTCTTTGTTTTTTACTGAGTGCTTTTCTAATAATAGTTTCTTTTCTATACTTAAGGGAGAAAGGTCTGAGTTCATTCCTGTCCACCAAATGCTAATTAGTGTCATCAGCAAACACATACTGTTGCTGGCTAGTTGAGGATATATTACATTACTGATTTTTAGGAAGGCTGGATTTGTCTGTGACCTCTGGATGTCTCAATGGCTTTAGCCATTGCCACTTGGGATCCTTTTATCCTAAAATACTCACCTTATCTTTTGAGCACTAGATTTTGCAGTTGGGTATTGCACCCCACTGATTACAGAGGGAGCTGTGGGACAGCTGAATGGGAGAGTTCTTATTCAAGTGACAGCTGTTACAAAGCAAAGAAAAAATATTTTAATGATTCTGTTGTAATTATTCAATTGTGCATAGATGTGTTGGAGAGCATATGTATTTCTATATACACACACATGGACACATACAGGGAGATGCCACACTTGCAGCTCCATCTCCTCTGTGTTAAGTCCTAGAGAGGTTTGGTTTGAAGTTTGCATGTGTGAATGTGTGGGGTTTATGTGTACACACGTATTTTCTGTGTATTTCTATGTATATGTGTATATGAGTGTATAAATGTAGACATGTTTACATGTCTGGATGTATGCACACACAGGTATTGCACCTAGTTTGGCTGTGCTTGGCTTTGAAACAAACATATTTATAGCAACCTATTTTCATATGGATATAGGTTTCATATTGATGTTTGATCTAGAAAAAGCACAGTATCTTAAAAGTACTCTGCACAAATATTTTAACAGATCACAGAGAGTCAGGCCTATACCCTGGAAGATGAAGTAGCAGAGGTTTTACAACAGCTAATTGCAAATGAAGCAAAGGATCGTGAGAAAGAGTCGGAGGATTTTGATTACCCTGCAAGCAGAGCAGACAGTGATACAAAAGAAAAGCAACAGGAAAGAATGGTAATTTCTAAGCTAATAATTTTATCTTGCTTGCCAAATGGTACTAGTACTGTGTTATTTAGGGAATTGTTGGTTCAATCTGGAAACAAGAGGTGTTCTTAAAGAAATTCTGTCTGATAGAAAAAATAATCACGAGTTACTTTAAAATTTAAGATTTTGAATTGAAATAACTTTGAGAAAATAGTATAGTCTTCACCATGCAATTAGGACAATGTTGACATGAGGTTGATAGAAATTTTTGCTCTATTAACTCTAACACCAAAAGCAATGTGCTTAAAGATTTTTTTTTTTATTATTATGTCTTATGTGGAGACACCAAGCAAATCTGATCAGGATAGTTTCATTAATGGAGAAGTTGATGATACACTGGATAACACATGGTCATCATCTAATGTGTTGGAAAGAAGAAATGAGCTGCCTTCTGAAGATAATTTTGAAGACCTCCAATATTTTCCAAATTTTTATGCATTATTAAAAAGTCTTAACTCAGGTGAGCTCGTCATGTGGTTGCAGAAATATTTAGGAAAAAACTTTAAAAACTGAGATTCTTTTTCTCCTGCTCTTTTCTCTTCCCCACAACTTTCCTAGTTGCAAGAGACCATGTGCTTTGAAAATGTTCTGTAAGATATCTAGCAGAAACTAATTTGATAAGTGATTTTGATGGCAAAACACTGGCAGGAACAGCACTCAGAGCTGCTAAGAGTGTGACCTAGACAGCCCTTCCCATCTTGTGCTGTGTGATTCAGGAGTCCTGAATTCTTTTCATTCCCGTAAGGATATGATGAAAAACTGGCAAATGGTTTTCCCCAGAGATCTTTCCAGTAACATCCATGTCTCCTAAGCCAACAGAGATACGAGTAAGCCACAGTAGAATCCTCACAGTGATGGTACCAGTAAATGAGTCCAAGCTTTTCCACAAACCACAGGTTTGCTGTTTATTGCAGTGAAAGCCCTGCACGTCTCTTACTATTCCGGTGCTGGACATCACTGCCTTCCAGTTATTGCAGGCAAGATTGTGGCTCTTTGCCACAGCCCTGTGTCAGCACCCTCTACACACACCCACTCTCTGCAGCCACACACACTCTAACTTTTGGAGGGATGAGGGGGAGGGTGGCATTTTGTAGATCTCTTGTCCTGCAGGAGCGTTAACATTGCTTCAAATTGTCCCCATATGCACCTGAATGGAGAGTTGAAAAACCTGAGGGTACATTTTGCTCGATTTCAATCTACAAACATTATATTCTTCTTCCTGTTCTTTTTCATTTTCCCATGGAAATTCTGCATGCTAGTTCTTCTCCTTTTTCTACTCACAATGCAGGCAGGCATGTTGGTTTTAATAGGTTATCAAGCAAACAGAACCAGGTCCACTGGCTGCACATCTCCTGCTTTATGTGTTCACCTGTCAGGTTGTATCCAGCTGGAGGAGAGGCTCCTACAGCTGTCTGTTAAATTGCAGGCAGCAATAAAAAGCCTGTTCAGCAGCTCTCCAGAATGGCTGGCCCTCTGCCAAGGTTGGGAATATGTTTCTGACTGTCCCTGACTGACAGTGCCCCTGGCTCTGTTGGGTCCTGCAGCGACAGCCTGGGAAGTGGGGAGAGCTTGTGTGACTGTGATGGGGGAGTTTTACACTGCTAATGCAGAAATAGCAGTAATATTGTTCAGCACATAAAGACAGTGGGGAAAGAAAAGCTAAGAAGCAGGTAAGTGTGGGCAAAAACTGATTCTTTTTATAATTTTTTTTTGTATCCTATTCTGAAGTCATGACCCTCCCAGCCACATTATGCTATGTTGTCCCAGTATGCAAGTCATGGACTTGTGCACAGAAACAATCTTGTTTGGGACACTTTGTATTTTTGTCATTGAACCCATGGATCTTGTAGGAGAAAGGATATCTCATACAGAGCCAGACTGATCTACTAAATAGTTCATAAACAAATAAAAGAAAAATTACAGACTGTAGAAAACTACCTATATCTGCCCTCCAACCATCAACTTAAGCCATCAGATCACTCCATCTTTGTGTGCTTAGTGTCCTCAGCTGTAAAATGGAATTAATACCATTGGCCTTCCATGACACAGCCCCTCAAGACAAAAAGCTATAAAGAGGAACGAGCCCCTGATTTGAAGTATATTCAGCTGTACTTTGCAGAAACAGTTTAAAAAGAAACGTATAAGTTCTCATTGCTAATCCAGCACAGCATTTTCTCTTTTAATGAGTAGGTCATTCTTTATGCATGAAGTTTGCGCAGTTTGCAGAACAGTTTTCCCATGCTGCCTGAAGTCTGACTAGTTTTGCTTCATCCCCTCACACAGAGACAGAGACAAAAGAGAAAGAGACCTTGATAACTATCATGAAAACCCTAATTGATTTTGTGAAGATGATGGTTAAATATGGAACAATCACACCAGAAGAAGGAGTTTCCTATCTTGGTGAGAGTATATACTTTATACAACTGTTTTTAATGGTGTGTTCTTCCTCTACCAACAGTGATAATCACCTTCTCATCTTCCTTGCTCTTATGAAACCTGTTTCAGATTTGTTCATTGAAAATGCTAAAGCTACACTTCCAAATGATTGATCATTCCCTACATGTTCAATGTTTAATTCCATACTGCTTTAATGCATCCTTCTAATGAAGGAAAGGTAATTTATCAGATATGCATTTAGAGTATTATTACACTTTCACATCTGTGAAGCACTATTTATTTCAATGACTTTATGTCAGGGGAAATTTGGATTTTTTCTCCTCTATTAAAGTGTATTAGGTACCTGCATTTCCCAAAAATAATCCAGCACTTCAGCTCCTTTAATCTGTCACCATAGGTAGCTGGACTAGATGGGACCTACTGCTAAGGCTGTCTACCAAGTAAAACTCCTTCCACCCGTGAAGAGTGTCAAATGTTGGCACAGCAGTAGATTTTTAAGCACTCTTTCCTGGATCCATTTTAGAGTCTGTGGCTATGTAGGTTTTGTAAAATCCTTACCATTTCCTGAAGAGGGAATTTGGAATGGCCTGGTTTGTGTCTCACACACCTTACCTGGCTTTGACAAACTCTCTTCCATTCATTTTAGGCAGCCTGTCTAGTTAAACAAGCTGACCTACAGAAGGGCTCATCTGTACGAGCTCTGCACAACCCTTTCATTTTTCTGAAGTATTTCTGGTTTGGATTAGTCTGAAAAGTTTTTGTTTGCATCAGGGCAATTTCTCAGCCTCATAATATTCAGCTTGTCACAGAGAGAGGATTGACAATGGTCTTTCTACGTTGCAGATACTTGATGGATGCAATTGTAACTGTATAGATTGATTATTAATTACTTGCCTACAAAAGGTCCAGTGAATCATGACTCACATTCAATGCACGGTTGCACCTCCTCTCTAAAGAATTCATGATGTATCTGATCAAGGCTATCCCTTTATTTGCTGTAAGAAATCTCCTTGAATTTTGAAATATTTGAACAACTTATGCCCCAGTCCACTCTTTATTTCTCTATCTGCCAGTATATTTAAAGAAAGATGCACATAAAGAAATGGTTGATTTAAGCATAGTGATTTCAGTGTCATTCTAGAAATGATGATACTATGGCTTGATCAGATATTGCCAAAACTTAATAGGCTAAATTCATCCCTGGTGCAAGACCATGCAGATAATGGAATTACACTAGGAATACATCCTGCTAAAATTCAGGGCAGTTGTTCGCATTGGCTTTTGTTTGAGCAAATAGATACAGTAACCCTGGAAACAAATTGCCATGATGACATAGTACAGAAGGCAAGGATTAGGTTAAGAGTTTGAGAGGTCTGATTTAGTCTGGATTTAAAGTAAGACTATCAGCTGATGTATCCAGACTCCGCCTTGCAAATGAGTAATTTATGCAGATATGGATTTTATGCTCCATGAAAGCAACTTACTGTAGTGGAAAAAGCTTTCTCATAGATTCTCAGGTTCCTTCTGTGGTATTCTTTTTTTAGATTTGCTGTTGAAAAATTGCTTTAAAGCTGACCTTCATTTATTGAGCTAATACTCTCAAGTACTGAGGAAGAGCATCCACAGGAGCATGTTAGCTTCTTGCACTATCCTTAAGCATGGCAGCAGTTTTATTGCCACTCTTATTCGACTGAAAGTTCTATAGTCTGTAATAGCTGGATAGGTACTGTGTATCTTGGTGCAGTTTGGATTAGGGGATTGATACACAGCTGTGCTTATTTATATCAGATAAAGGAATTAGTATGAATATCTGTCAGAGAGAAGAATCAGTGTAAAAAATTGGCAGCTTTTTGTTGTTTCCTCAGTCTATAATCAGTGAGCTGATTCTGTGCTACTTGGTGGAAAATACCTATTGGGTCTGTGCAGATGAATTACATCCTCTCTCCATTTTATTACAGTAGGAAACTGCCTAAATTAATTTTCCCCACTCCGTGACTGAAACCATGCGTAAGCTATGCCTCTGAATTATACATTCAAAATAATAAATCATTTACTGAATCAAGTCACAAGGTGCAGCTTTTTTGCCTGTCACAGGGGTGCAGAGACAGTGAATTTGAATGCATATACCAGTAACAGCTGGCTTGGGATTTGGAAACCACAGAATTATGTCATCATCATTGTCTCTTACTCCAGGGGAAAGTATTTTGCTGCAGCAGTGACTGATGTTATTAGATTTAGCTTTAAGTTACAAAGTGTCTGGCTGCAGTGTGGTGCAAGAAAGGCACAAATGCACATACATGGAAACACAAGGAATAAGTTTGGTTTTTAATACATATATTCAATATTATGTAATACATGTTTAAAAGCTTTCCATATGCTAAATGTAATCTGTAACAGAATACAAAAAGCCCAAACCAGAGTATTCATATATATGAATCAGAAGAAAAAGTAATGTCTGCCTAGAAGCATTAAAGAAAGCCTGTAACAAACTGATAGAAAATGTGTGTTCAGCTGAGGTGCACCTTATTTGATAATTATCCTGCTGTGGCAAAATACCACAATTTTCTGTCACTCTTTACTTTCTTAGCTATAAATGCTGTTACAGGAAGCAAATTCTTCTGTGGAGTGAAAGCCTCATTATATGTTCCTAGTCTGTCCAAAGGCTTTCAGAAATCTTTCTAGAAAGATCACCTGCTCTCTGAAATTGAAAGCTGCTTTAAAATCATTTTTGCCATTAAAAGAATGGACAAACATTGTTTGTTACAGAAAGAATAAGGTAGTAAATGATGACACAGGATCTCAGGAGCACAGGTGGCTTGTGAATCCAACTGTGGTATTAACTTACACACCTTTGGGTTTATTGGCAGCATCCAGCAAATGCTGCCCAAACAGCTGAACTCCTCTTGCTTGCCCCAGCCTGCCAGAGACACAGGCTGCTCTCCCTGAACAGGCTGTTTTGGGAAGGGCTTGGGACAGTTACTGAAATGATGTTGCTGTTGGCAAGGGTGCAGTGACAGAGAGGAATGGAAGTGTTGGAACACTTCCACGTAGTGACCAGAGGAAAGCAGCAAGAGGCTTTCAGATAAGTTATGACTGATTCAGCATAAAATATTTCATTATTCATGCCATTAATAACATTTATATTGCATAAATAGCTGATACTGATGCATAAATATCCGATTCTCCATGCACAACTGAAAGGACAATATCCTTCACAGTGCTGAGTGCTTCAAAAGAAAAAGAACTGTTTGAGCCAATAGTAAAACTCACTTTGATTTCAGCAGAGCACAACAAGGCATTCATTGCACAGATACCTGTACTGTTTAAATATTAGTTTGTGAGTAATATCACACTTTTCTTCATTTTCCTTCTGTCTGTTGAGTAACGTGATGGTGGAGATTCACTCTGATAGCTTTTCCACCAAAGCCATCTATCACAGACCAGATAAATATTAAGGAAAAGCTTCATCTACACCACACAAAGAATTTTTTGTATGACAAGTGACTTTATCTGCATGTGACAGGCTATCTAGCTAGTTTTAAAATGAAAGCATATCAGTCCACTACTATCTTGATAAAAGCTCTATTTATAGTAATTATGTAAAGCAAACTATAGTTTCATAATAGATTTATTCTAATAATATTGTTGTCAGCTTAGGAAAAAAATGGTTTCTGCCAGTTTGTTCAGGTACAGTTGCAAATCATCTCCCCCTAATAAGCCCAAAATAATGCGTGACTTTTAGAACCATTCTAGGAAATATTTTCAATTAGAGACATGGGGCCATAACAGATACAGCTTTCAGAGATGACAGAAAATTCTTAAGCGGCTCCAGTGTGTATATATGAATCCTTTTTACATGGTAGATTGCTTACATCTTCCTGCTGTGTGCTGCTCACAAGAGTAGATTTGTTGCAAATTTATCCATTGCCACCCCAACCAAGTGAAAGATACATTACCCAGTGACCTATTACCCTGAAAATGCAGATTAGTTATTTGCACATTGTAGCCTTGTGTGGAGTTCTCATTTATTGACAAGCACATGTAGCACTGTATATTCCACAGCTGGAGAAAATAAAGGGGCAAAGGACTGGGAAGAAAATTAAGAACTCTGTAGCTTTGCTCTCTCTGAAGGGGATCCCACTTTTTATCTCCTTGTGGTAAAGCATTTAGACTACTGGAGCCACAGTGGAGAACCCACAGCCCACAGCAGGCTGGTTTAGGAGCAAACCCCCCTTTATTTAGGAAGGAAATAGAGAAATCATTCCAGCTGATCCGTGTGCAATGTTTGAGTCACAGCTGCCTTCTTCCACAGACCAAACCAAAGCCACCTCTCACACCTTCTCCCTTTGGCTCTGACTCATTGTCAGAATCCACACTGTCCCCGTGACTGAGTAGGAGACTGTGTTAGTTAGAAATGGGCATGAACAGATGTCTCTGTTTACTTTTCCACCCTCATATCACTTGTTCTTCATGGACAACAGAGAAGAAGACCAAGCTGCAGGACACACAAGCAACTGGAGATGGATTGTTCATGGGAACTATTGCTCCAATGTTGATTTTTGACATGTCCCTCATTAGCCTTTCCACGCTAAGGAATATGAAATAGCTGTTGTGCCTCTCCTAATCATTCTTGGTACCTCCATAGCTCCACTTCTGATTAAGCCAAAGCTCTGTGATTTTCCCATTGTAGGCCAGTGCACAGCAGACACAATCTGGCCTTTTCTTGGGAGAGGAGAACTTGTTTGAATAATGTGACTAAGGCCTGAAGTTCTCATCAGCACAGATGCTGCAGGCCAAAGATCTAATTCTGATATTTCTTTAGTTAGCCAAGAACAGGCAGAGAGCCAAGAGTGTGAGGTGAAGTGCAGATCACAGCCCACACTGGCATCATCTTTCCTCTCCTCGCTGTGACCCTAAGCTGATGCTCCCTGATGCAGACTGTGATTTCAGAGAGTGAGGGAAGGTGTGGCTAAGGCAGAGCCAGAGGCTACAAGTGGAATATG